AGGAAGTCTTCTGTGCGATCCTGCTGATTGTGGGCTTGTAGTCGTTGCAGGTTGTAGTGGTGTAATTTTTTCTGACATCATCTTCCATCATTGGCCAAAAAGTAAAGCAGGGCCAGCCTTGTCTAATGACACAGGTGCGGGCTGACACTGGTGTACAGGGATTGTCAGTTGTGCCAGGTCTCAGGTCTTTAGTCTCTGCTGGCAAGAAAGATTGGCAGTTTGTGTTGGTTTCACACAGACCTGTCAACCTTCCAGAGATACAGTACAACTGGGTAAATTCTGTGGTTTGTTTTGCAAGTGAGGTAAATGCTTACAATTTTACAAACAATGCCTGAGTAGCAAATGTGTAATATCAGCAACGAAGGGTGCTTGAGACCTAACCTCCCAGTAGTGTAGTGTTTACATATTAGTTTGCATACAAGAATCTGCTATAATGTCTGAAGGAGCAACCCTAACCCTTTGTATAAAGAGACCTACAGTATGTTATCAATGTGTGATTTTTTTAGAAGTAAAACCTGTTCCTTGTGGTCTTTGCTGAAACTTGTTTATTCTGTTTTGGACGTGCAGCAAATATTTATTCTCACGAAACTCGCATGCCTGAAAGCTTCTCATTTCCACTGTGTTAACGAAAGCCGTCTGAGACAGCTCTACAGACATGACAATCGGTGGTGGGCTTGTCTTTGCTTGACGGGGTGGCGTTTTTTAAATTAAGTAAGGCTTCCATGTGTGTTATATTATTTTACATCATTTATTTGCTTGCCCACTTTAAAGAAAAACAAAACGACTTGTGCAGCTGACCATCTGTTATCAATTTAACTCACTTCATTTGTTTTCCCATTAAATGCCTGTGTCCCTGAGATAGCTGATAAATGCAACCTAGAAAATAGACCCCAAAGAACCAAAACCTAACAGCAAGAGCTATTGCGAGAGCCCAGACTCACCGGAGAATGTTTTACATCATTAACAATTCTCTGTGTTCTTTGTAGTAATTCTGTATTCTTCTGCCTTACAGTTTAAACCTTGAAGGGTTCGTCCGTATTGATTTCTTATGGAGGTTTGGAAAATAATCCAAATCACCTTGAAACAAGATGAAGCAACATCCGTGCACTCTAGTGGGGGACCTGGCAAGTTATATTTTTATGGTGGGCTTTTTTAAACGCCTTTAAACTGTCAAGCAAGTTTAAAGTAAGCTATTAGGCAGCATTTAATGGAAGTAAATGGGTCTGGCATACTTATAGTCAAACAAACTGAAAGCAGGCTGCACAGTAAATGCAAATAGCCCAGCAGAAACATCACTACCGAAAATGGCAGTGGCCAACAGCTGCCCTTTTCTGCATTTGTTCTCTAAAAAAGCCTCTGTTTTGAAAAGAGATGGAATGTGTGACAAAATATTGCCAGCGATTCTGGAAAAATGACTCCACAGGCTTCCCTGGCTCAATGGCTAAAGTGAGGTCAAGTCCCTGAGAGACCTCAGGTGTCCAAGTATTGTGCCAGTAAGTTATCTTAATGCCTCTCCAAACATCTGCAGTACTCTATATTAGACACAGGCTCACTCAGGACTGATGTACTGATTAATCCCTGGTGAAAGTGTGGTATTTAATTGTGAGAGGTGTTGCACCTATAATAAAAATATAATTGAAGTCCTATTTTACCGTAAAACTGCCTGAAAATAATTGTTTTTCATGGACAGAGCTTTTCCACATCATGAAACGTGTTCTGGTAATCTAGTCACGTTAGATGCTTAATAAAAATTATCGGATACAGTTTGCTCATCTCCAGTAATACCTACTTCATACATTTAATATGACATTTTCATTAAAATTGCTTTGTTCTAGTAAAGTCAATAATTCAGTAATTTAGTCAGTAATTCATTTATTTTTTAATAATTGAAGTAGAAGAGAAAAAAGATCTGTCAGTTTCTTTACACCTAAACAAGTCCACGGCACAGACGTTAGGAATCTGTATTAGTCCCAGATGAGTGAACAAAGAGGAGGTAGATTTCCACATTGAAAGTGATGTGTTGTCCAGGGTGTCTTCACTCAGGACTCCTCATTAGAACCCAGAACTGTATCCACAGGCGTTTGTGTAAATACCTGCCGCCTATTCTTGCTTTAAAAATGTAAAGAGAGTGAGAATTGAAAAAATAGGACTCCACAATTTTGTGATGCGCCTGTTCAGTGCTGATGCTTCTCTGCTTGTATCTGTTTGGGAAAACAGCTTTTATGTCATTTTACTGTACATCACCCCATCCTTCAAACCTCAATTAAAGCTTTAAAGTGTGGTTCAGAGAAATACTGTAAATAATAAAGTTGTCAGGCACATTCAGAGGTGAGGTGGAATGCAAAACTCAGGATCCCAAGACCCTGGACACCTGGAGATAAGGAGCCCAGATGTGACTAGAGTTTTTCCTACAGTAGCAGCCAGGGATTCATTGTGGTTTATTGTGTTGGAGCCTTAACTCCTCCAGTGCTCAGTCCTATATATTGATGGTTTGCTGGGGCTTGTTGGCAGCTTTGAATGATGGAATGCTAGCTGTCTCTAATGTCTTATCTGCTGTACGCCAGATAACTAGCTGTTTCACACTGAAGCTTTGACTGTAAATGCAGAAACAAAACAAGAACTGGAAAATTAATTATCCAATCTGTCTCAGACACGACTTTAATCAAGAAGCAGGTCTGTCACTTGCTACAGCCCTGCACATAAGCACAAAATAATGTTGACTGCAGTTACACGGATTTTGTGAATGCCCAGAAATATTACTGACTGTTGTTTTAATGTTCCTTAGTGTGATGTGCATGTGGTAAAGGGCACTGCAATTGTGACAACATAATTGAAACCCATTCAAGCTGCTGAAAATGGAATAGTTGAAAATATTAAACACGTCCCTATGATGTTTAAGTCTAGCAATGCGATATTTAAAAGAGTATGTTTTATGTTCAGGTTAAGCTCACTTGCCCTTCTCAGTGTTATGCCTGCTCTGCTGCACTATCCTGGACTATTCACTGCCATTACCTTAAGACCTATAAGCCTCCTAATTCTGTTGTGGAGCAATGGAGTTTGAAGAATATGCTCCTCAGTGGTATTATTGCTGCAGCTGTCTTTAAAGAATAATTTAAAGAAACCATTCAGTGTATTGTTATTGCAGTGCAATTTAGAAGATGCATTCTACTCTGGGGTCAGTTACAAAAACATAGCTCTTTTCATCTGCAGTAGTTCCCAGACAGATTTGCAATTGAACAGTTTTTTGGTGCTAAAATAAAACTAATTATTATCGGCTTAATTAGAGGTTCTTTAAATGCCTCCAGCTTTTTAACAGTTGTCATTTCAAATTTACTGTGCTTTGTAAGTAATTTCAATATCTGTAGGTTTTTAAGCCAATGGTTAGTTAATTTTGTGGCTCACTTAAGAGACTGGAAGCCTAGCTGGAGTGAAAACATGATGTTGCCTGGTTGTCTTGATATAGCCTAGAGCAGCATAGGGTGCAGGGTTCGAGTGGAGACACTGATGCTAAGTAAATGATACCTGTCTACCTAGGTTCCTAGATCACAACCCCCCCCACCCCCCCCCAACCCCTCTGAAGGAGAAAGACACAGATATGTCCCAGGAGACTCCATTAATGTGCTATCTGTAAACTTCTGCCCAGAATCTGACGTTTCAGACAGAGGAGTGTAGTGCTTCAGCCCATGGAATCGGGAACTCTCTTGATGTCTTCAGCTTTTGACTATTGTTGGTTTTTTTTTCTTTGCTCCCTTAAGATGTAAAGAATGTGCACTTGGATTAAACCTCCTCCAGTATTCTGCCTGTTTTTGTTTGTTGTCTTGTCCTATGCTGGTCAAATGGCATTTTCATGTTGAGGCCTATGTCAGCACAATAAATTGCTTGCTTCCACAGTCCCCAGTGTATGACTGTTGAAGTTTTAACCAGGCAGCTTGACTGTCGCAGCTAATTATGTTGTCTCCTAGTTTCAGTGCAGCTGTTGGGTAAATGCTGACAGCAAGAATTGTTTAGGTGTCTTGTGTGATTGCAGGTTTTTCCAGTATGGCTTTGAATGAAACTGAATCATGTCCTTGATTCTTTTAGCTGCCACCTCTGGTCTCTCTTGGAAATACCCCGATATTATACATTTCTGGCAATGCAAGACTGGATTTTAACAGCTGAGTTTTCAAGGCCCTTGAGCTCTGTAAAATAGCATCTAATTATTAAGGATTTAGCAGAATTATATCACTACTGCAAAGATGTCTTTAGTGCTGCATCAAATACTTTATGCATTATTATGAATTCAGATTTAGAGCTGCTCAATAGCACAGTTGAAGAAACAATGTTTCTGTCATTTAGGATGATTCTCACTGAGAATTATTAAGGTTACATAAAATGTTAAGCAATTCCAAACCCTGAAATGAAATATTTAGCCTCTGTGCAGCTGAGCGCATCTCTGGGAAAGCTAGCAAGATAAAGTCTGAACTACAAAACTGGGAAAAAAAAACAACATTTGATCCGCTTTGGGAATCTCGGGAGGCTGGAGATGAGAGGCCAAAGTGAGGGGGTTTTGGAGAGCAATCTTGCTACTCATCTTTCAGTGGGTGGTCTCTCCTGGGCAGGGGTTTTAACGCGCTTTGGCAACAGAAGTGTAGGGAAACTTTTATTGATCGAAAGGATTCAGGACCCAGTGCATGCTGTTCACTGCTTTGCAGATGAGCTGCTCTGGAGAAGATAGGATTTTGAGTTTTACTGAAATGTTTTTTGGTTGTTGGTGCTCATGCTCCCAACACTGGGGGAGAACTCAAATGAATTTTTGCTGTTTCGCAATTGTGCACTTCTTTTCGACATTGACAGCACTGCTTTGATTTCTTTGTGAACTGTACAGTGTAACTTTCGTTTTCTGTAATGTCTCTGTATTTTCTCTCCCATACTGTATGTGTTGTAATTACTACAAAGAAAATAATTCCTGTGCCTTTTTTTTCAGAAAACACTCATGAAGAATGTTTTACAAACCTGAAAGAAATAGGTGATCCATAATCTTAACTTAACTTTGATCTTTTTAAGCCTCTTGATAAATTCTGTTTTAAAATGATTCCAATTAGCTTCCCGTTCTGGGTTGCAGAACAGTTTTGCTTGCTATCATGAGAGATTTTGGACTGTGAAGGATGCCTGTGCTGCCCCTGAGCGAGATACAGTAAGTAACTCTCCTGTCTGATTCATCTTGTCCACTCAGATGTACTGTACATGTAGATGTACAGTATATTGTGTGGACCAGTGTTTTATACCTTGAGAATCATTTCTCTCAATCTGCTTTATTAAAAGAAGTGGAATATGACCTAGCCCGATCAGCCACTAGACATGAATGTAGAGTTTGCTTCTTTTGCATAAAACATCTGTGTCTTTCTGCATTAAGCCTTGATAGATTAATGTACAGTATTTGCATGGCTGACTCTAGCAGTCCCACTTACAGTACCTGACTTCCTTTGTAGCTAGGACTGGGAACAATACATGTATGTTTAGATTGTCAGTAGGCTTTTCCTTGGTGTTACAGATAATAAAAAAGTATTAATTGAGTGCTAATTTAAACTGCCAAAGGCACATTATGCTCTGAAACATCTGAACAATAATAACAATAACAATGACAACAGAAACATCTGCAATAATAAAATGATACATATACTGTACCTCCAACAAACAAAATGCATTAGCTTTTTATGAATTACAAGAAAGCTCCAGACAGCCACAGTGTTTCAGTTTTGCAGAGTATGTTAGAGTTAATTGATTACCCCTAATCCCCCAGAAAACATTTAAAACACCCACCTATTGCTCTGTTTCTCATCTTGTTTATTGGTTAATGTGTTATCAACAAATAGTTCACAGTATTGTATCAATCAAAGCTCTGAGGCAATGTAATTTGCTGAAGCTGGGAATGCAAGTCGAATGCTGTTAGGTTATTGTGTTGGAGTGTAAGAGAAGACATGCAATGGGTAAATTCTCTTTTGTGATTTTTATTTTATCGTGTACAACAATATTGTTTCTGACCTATTTTTGTGTTCCTGTCACCAAGATAAAATAGCAGTTGCAAATGTTTTTTGTGAAATCATGCTATAGCTCAAAACAAAATCCCATTGAGGAAAATGGACAAGGCGTGCAAGCTCGGAAGCAATTGCAATTTAAAGCAAATCTGAAGCCCGATGTTTCTTCTGTTTATAATTAAATCAAATTTAATTAAAATAGTATTTTTTCTTTTATCCAGTTAAAAGCGGTACAGTAGGTTTCATTCAGAATAGATTTGGTGGAAAATGATTTTATGGAATTGCAATTGCTAAAAGCTTGAATTTACATATCACTGAAGTTGGATGTGTTTGCTGACATTAGCTGCATTTCATACACGACAGGAGTGTATGGAGAAATGCATTCAGCTCCAGTCTTCTTCTAGTTCATGGTTCAGACCCTGTAGATGCAGAATATCAATAGGAGGAACAATTATGTTGTTAAAGACAGCAATTACCGTGTGCACTATGTATACCTAATGAGGTTTGCAGTGAATCTTTTGTGAGCAGTGCAAGTCATTTGCTTTCAAAGGATAAGTTCCTCTGTCAGTAGCTTTTTATTTTTTCTTTCCTTGTTGGCTCAGCTGAGATAAGATCTGCTGCAGTAAATGTGGAAAATGTACAGTGATATTGTGAAGAACTGACTTATGACATTATGTATTTACAACGATATTGGAGACCTGGCTTAGATCGATTATTTTGGCACTTGGACCGGGGACCACTGTGCCACTCATTTGCTTGGGTGTTACACATTAGTCAGATGGCACGACTTGAAATTTCTGCTTTAACATGGTAATGGAAAACCTCTTATCTCACATTGAAGTGATGTATTGTCCGATGTGTACTCTAGTGCTCTTGTTTCACTGTGTTCTTTTCCACCACCAGTTTCTACCCATTAAATCAGAGAGCCCCAGTCCAGTTAGTCCAGGGATCTCCGAACCTGGTCCTGGAGAGGTCCACTTCAGCAGCATTTATAGAGCGGCTTAAATCATTAATCTAAAGGCCTGGATCAATTTTACTGTGCTTAATTATACATAATATATGCTTTATATTATGTGTTGAATTGAGTATTTCAGACACCATTTGTTACAAAACTCAGAATATTCTTCAGCCCTTCAAGGCTGAAGTGTTATCCTTTATTGAAGCATTGCTTGATTAATGGAGCAATTGCTTAAACAAGTGTTCTTAAACTTTAAGTAACAGGACATTTGGGATGACCTACAGTATGAGATTGTGTGTCATGGGGATTGCCGGCACCAGGGTTGGAGACTCCTGCTTTGAATAATGTAACACTACATGAGAAAACTGTTTTTCTTCATGCAGTAGTAAGATCTTCATTTTGACAAGAATGTTGTGGCTCCATTGAGAAAAAAAAACATAATATTATCCTTGAGATTTAACTTTAGAGTGAGTACTGTACCTGATTAACTGATTTTCAGTTCCCTACACGTATCCCATGATAGCTGATTTGGTCACTTCCTACCCTCGTGTTCGTTTTTTAATTTAGAAAGAAAATTATTTACTTTTTCCCTGATTGTTTCTGATTTAATAAATGAGTACATCTTCAATACAGAGCTGAAACTTATAAATAACTCGAAATTCAGAATACCTGCAAGAGGTAGTAACAGTCCTAAAATGAACAAAAAAAAAACAACTAGAAGAGCTTGCTCCCAAATGTGTTTAATTAATTAGCTGCTATGGAAACCAGGCTGTCCAAGGAGAACTTGAGTTCGAATAAAATATATCACAATAAAGGGAAAAACATCTCCTGTGGCAGTTTTTATCTCACCATCACCATGTCCTAGGCTTGATTTCTTCCAGCTCCAAAATTCTTGCAAATCATTTTTTAAAAGCAAGCTCGCAGTGTGCCCTTTGAATCATTACACCAATCCAGCTATCCAGCTATAGTGAGTTCCTGATCCCCGATTTACTTACTGTATATACAGTATTTCCTTACTTTCAGTGGTGTGCATTTTTAAGAAATGTGTTTTGTTCCAATTGGCTATTCTTCTGCAAGCTGCTGGCTTCAGCATTAATGAGGGAAAAAGGCATACAATGTATACCTTGATAGAAGCCCTCTGCCCAAGTTCACAGCTCTCATATCTTAATCCACTATACCTGGGACAGATTAAGTGGGTTTAAGTAAAACCTGTCTAAAGGATTACTCCAAGGGGGAGAGCAATCTGTAAAAGTGCTCTGATATCTCCCACCCCTAATGCCCCTGAACCAAAGAACAAGGAGCCATTGTCCTCCACATTAATAAACTCCTCACAGCTCTGCAGGTAGCAGGTTCCCTGGTTTAGCAATCTTGCAGTATACTTCTTGGATTAACCTTCTGTGGTGCCATGTGTAGGATATAGTAAATAGGCGCCGTCCTTCAGATGAGACGTAAAACCGAGGTCCTGACTCTCTGTGGTCATTGAAAATCTCAGGATGTATCTTGAAAAGAGTAGGGGTGTACAGTAACCCCAGCGTCCTGACCATAAAATTCCCATTGGCCCTTACCAATCATGGTCTCCTAATAATCCCCATCTCTGAACTGGCTTCATCACTCTGCTCTCCTCCCCACTGAGAGCTGGTGTGTGGGGAGTGTACTGGCACACTATGGCTGCTGTCGCATCATCCAGGTGGGGCTGCACATTGGTGGTGGTGGAGGGGATCCCCATCACCTGTAAAGCGCTTTAAGTGGAGTGTCCAGAAAAGCGCTATATAAGTGTAAGCAATTATTATTATTGTTATAGTGTTAAAATGCACCAAGCAAGATACACGCTCAGCTAAAAAGAGGAGACGAGTCCCACAAGCCATACAACTGGTGCAGAGCAGGGATGGCGTGGTACAGAAACTGCGTGGTGCTCTAGTCCCAAACAGAGGAACAGTTCGGCGGGTAATTGTTAACGAGCTCTTACCTCCTCATTGATTTGTCCTGAAAATGCCACGGCAAGCCTGCCATGCCCCCTCTGTAGTGACAGTTCTGTGCAGATCTACACAAAGATTTCAAAAGAATCGTGGAGAAAGAGCAAAAGGGCAATGGACATCAGATGTGAAGGCAGTTAGTGGCTGCTTTCTGAAATGTTGCCAGATTTTACGGCTACAATTAGAGAAATGCTGTCAGCTAAGCCACATAATCGTTTGAGAAATAGCAACACAGTAATAACTAATAAAACACATCTGATTGTGTTCCCCCCTTTCCCCCGCTCCATATGAACCGTGTTGCGAATTAATGGTCCGCGGTACTAATTAAGCTATTAAGACTCGTCTGCAGCAGCTAACGATTTGCTGTAATCCAGCATGCAATCTTACAGCATTTCAAAGCACAATATCAATAGGAAAATGAGGTTAAAAAGGAATGAGGCAGTCATTGTGTTATGGAGAACTAAGTGAGTTTTTTTTTAAATGAACTGCTGAAATTGTTTCAGAGGCAGTGGCAAGGCACAGGGTGATTAGGGCTGGAAATTGAAATTATTGCTTATTATTATTACTTTGACTGATTTCATTTCACTGATGCTTTTATTGAAAGCGACTGAAATTCGCACCCATTAAGACGGTTATACAGAGGGGTATTTCACTGGAGGAATGTGCC